CCCCCAAAAAAAATCCACACCACTCCCCAAGCAGCTCCAGCATTTTTCTTTTATGTTTGCAGTATTTTGCTTTCCTCCTTTTTTTTTAATGGGTCATAAACAAACACCCGTTTCTGCTGTATAGTTCTGCACTGAGGGGGGGAGGTGGGGGAGTGTGTGGGTGTGGTGTATTGGTGTGTGTGGGTGTGTGTGTAGTTGTTTTGCTTGCACTGAACTGAAAAGCGAATGGTCGAAAGCCATGGCACTCGCCATGTGGTTGGAAGTGAGAATGAAAAACTGGATGGCGTCCATACATCCTTTCCCATGCTTTGATGCACATATCTTTGACCAAATGTATGCACAGTATCTGGGAGGGCTCACTGTAACTCCAGTTACAAGAAGGCCCGCCCACAAGAAGATGTATAGAATCTGAACTGCGCCAAGTAACATTCGGCAAGCAAGAAATGTATCGTCCAGAGAGTAAAGATCTGTCTTAACGTTGACGTGTTGGTGCATACATTGATGTTTTTATTCAAAATAAACCCTTTCTTCATTCTAAGAGGAGGAGGATAAAGTTGTCTGTTGTTGACAGTATTTCACAAAGTTATTATCGCTGATGTCCATCATGTAGATGTGTTAGTAATACAATAAAGATGTCTCTCCTTGGCAGTCTTGTTATTGATTAAATATCAACACTTATTGCCAGAGTAATTTATCCTGCCTTTTCAAACGCTCTACATCGGCCTTTACTTCAGTCTGCCAAGTAACAAAACAAATTGTAAGACAGTCAAACCCAACAAATGTTTTCAGCTTTGTGTCCTCAAAGTAAGGCTGAGGTATTCCTATCTGTGCAAGACGCAGCACCACGGTTATTGGTGTTAGCAGGAGCAGGAGCAGGAGCAGCGAACATAAACATTCCAGTACCCAGTGTTGACCTCTTGATCTCTAAAACCTTGGAACTGCAGTGCCGGCAGCAGGAGACCACACGCACACACACACACACACGTGGTGGGAGGAGGAGCGGGGAGGACACACAGCCTCTCCGGTGTCCTTGCCTTAAAGAGCTTCAGATGCCCGAAGACTGTGAAAAATTTGCCCATCCTCTTAAAATCAGTGCAGTCTTCCCCGCTCAGGGATTGTTGCCTGCATGTCAGAATGTGGGTATGGCTTTCTCAGATGGAAAAGTTGTTCCAAGGAAAACACAGCTCCTGTCTTTCTCGTTCTCCCCCCTGTTGTTGAGCAACCGGCGGTTTCTTTTATGAATCTGGAGATTGTGTCATGTATTCTTTGGGTTAAATCTCCAGTGTTGAAATAGGTTTTTCCATTCTGCAGAATCACAATTGCTAAATCCGCCTTCAGCTCACCAGACTGAAACCATGGATCCAAACTAGATCTTTTTGCTATTTATGAACAAACAAACAGCCGGAATAATACATCTCGGTTTTTCTTTCAAAGTAGTGATTTCAAAATGAACTGATTAAGAAGTCAACTTCTGCCATGATTCTCTGCACTGATGTTGAACTTGTTAAACTACAATGTGAACACGGAGGACTCGTTTTTTTTGCCACAAATGCAGAAACAATGATTCCTCCCTTCATTTTGCATTCTTTCCTTCTGTCTGTGTGCCGCTCTGCTGACCATGTCTGACTCCGCTGAGAAGGTTCCTGCAGCCCCAGGAGGT